CAGCGGGTTGGGAATGACTCGTTTGTTGTTCTAAGTGTATGGTTTCCATACACTTCCATGGATCGGGGTCCTGTTCGTGAGGGAGACAAGGGTCCGTTTCTAACTGTATGTGTTGCATACAACTCCAAGGATCGGGGTCCTCGTCGTTAGGTGGAGAAGTGTGCGTTCCGTCGGCGTCAGTGGGTGTATCCACGGTGGAGGAAACATTGATCCCTGGAGGACCCTGGTCTGCGGTAGAAACAACCAAGATATTGTTATTCGTTGCCTCGTCCCGCATCAACTCCTGCGCAAACGCCTCCACAAGTATCTGCAAATAGTCGTCTTTGACATTTTCCCATTCGGTTGCTTCACATTCGTGGAGCACTTCTAAATGTAGCTCGATGATGGTGCGCTTATGCACGCGTGGGGGGCGTTGTCCTCGGGCGGATGTTGACGCAGGTTGCCTATCCCTAATCAAGGTGTACCCGTAATCGGGTGGCGGCAGTTCGCCGCGTTGTAGATGCTCCAATATTTCTTCGTCGAGTGGCGGTGACGGCACGTCACGAACGGTGCGAAACGTTCGTCGTCGTTTTTTTCCGAGGTACGCAAAGTACTAAGCACAGAAAAAGGGGGTAAAGAGGAGGGTGAGGACGGTAGGATAAAAGGAATGAATGCGGGTGCAGGAGAATATATGGATTAGAACGATCATATATTGGAGCCGGTTGGGATGTTCTGAGGTATAAACATCCTGCACATGCAGCATGCCCGCATTGTCGTGTACACTTACCTTCCAAAGGGAATAAGCAAGGAGGGCAACGGTGACGGCGGACAAGAAGAAGAGTACGGGAGTAATGGCGGTAAGGACGTCGGCGGTGAGGTCGGGGACAGCGTGGCTAACGTCTCCGGGACCTTGATCTGAGTTGGATGAACTGGATTTATTTTCTGGTAAGGTTGGTGGTACAAATCCCCCTGCTACACCTTGTCCGCCATCTGGAAGTCCGAGTGACAATTTGAGGTCACATTCCGGTTTACTCTCCTGTCCGCATCCCTTTGTGCATTTACTGTTCTCATGATCCCGCGGATCCTGGGATACAGATCCAGACGAACCAGGGGTTTGGTGACCAGTGGAACCTCCTGTTTCGCCACCACCACCAACTGCAGCACCTCCCTTTCCTTCCCCACCAGAAACACCATCTGCTAGACTTCCCCCGCGGGTGCCATCGGGGCCGCTACCGCTTGCACCCGATTGATCTGGGTTCGGGTTCGGTTTGGGTTTGGCTGGATTGAGAGGAGGGGGGTCATCGTTTCCTTTATCGACGACGGTATCCTGAACACCGGGACTTGCTACTCCCGGTGGACCCTTCTCACCGGATGCACCATGTTGTCCGTTTCCCGTAGAATCCGGAGGTGTCACTGTGTTGTCCGTAGACTCAGGTGGGTTAACTGGTGCCCCTGTTTGTGCTGGTTCCTCTGGCGGCGACTTTGATGTTGCCTTCGCGTCCTGAACATCCGCTTTAGGTACTGTTGAATGTGGCTCTGTTTCCTTAGTCTCAGGTCCAGTGGTTTCACCTGAACATTAGGATTAGGAAGTGAAAAGTTATGAAACTGAAGTTTGCGTTACATGGATGACCATGCTCGGTTGGATGGTTGGGCACACGCTCCTTCCATGTCGGTTGACCACACGGTGAAAACGGTGGCCCGTGGTCCGTCGCTGGATGGTTGGCCACACGATCCGCACCATTGGTGCCATGGGCACGGCGGAGCAGGACACGCACGGACGCAGAGACGGGCCGGGGCAGGAGACGGAAGCGGTCACGGGGACGAGAGCGGTGAGGGGGGCAGCGCGGCAGGGTGCCACCCCGGGAAAAGACTCTCTCTCCCACACACAGACAGGGTGCCTGTCGACGTCTACGCCTGTCGACATCTATACGTCGCTCTCTACCTCCCGCGGTTTTTCCGCGACCGACCCATCGCTCTCCCCCGCTTTAGTCTCATTCGACGTTTGGGGTCTCTCTCTGCGTCGCGCGCCGGAAAAGTTGTTTGTGTTGTGTTGTTTTTTTTCTTTTGCATTCATAATGTACATATATGGCGTTGGTGCACGCCGGTATACATTAATACTATCTCAGATGGCCTTGCCTGTGTTCGAACAGTCCGGTGTGGTTGCAGTATGGTCGAAGGTTATCGTGGTACTCACGTGGTTCGGGTCGTTGTCTGACTTATGGGTATGTGTACTTGTACCGCATGTTGGTTTCGATTTATCCTTACCTGCGTTCTCTGATCCGTCTGCTGTTGGCCGTGGTGATGCTGCCTGGGGAGTGATCGATGCTGGTGGTGGTGGTCTTGCTGGTAATACTGGAGATGCCGGTGCTTGTGGTTTCGTGGCCGCCGGCTTTGCCGCGGCACCTACAAAAACGAGACAGGTAGAAGGACGATAAAAAAAAAAAGGACACAAGTGGTACAGAAAGACGGGGACGGCACGGTGTAGTCAGGTAGCGGCACGGTCGACTCGGTGGATGGGTGCTGCGGCTCGATAGAGTGTGTCGATGCAGTGGGTCGGCTGCATGGGTCGAGGTGAACTCGGTGTACTGGGTGACGCGGCAGCAAGCGCACAGTGAGGTGAACTCGGTGGACTGGGTCGTGCTGGATGGTAGCAGTACACTGTTATTTGTCGCCGTCATGTCGGGGCCGCGACCGCACACACACACCTCGTCTACACTGCACTCTGCGAACGGTACGCTCGTCCACACGCGTCACCCCTAGTGTTATGGTCCGCTGCCGTGGCAACCGCTCAACGAAGTCGTTTGCTGTGCTGTTTTGCTGTTCTCGCCGCGTGCGTTCCCGTCGTCGCAGCGTGTGCGTTGTTGTTATGGTGGAGTCCATCCGTGCGCAGTCGTACGGGCCGGGCGTATTCGTATTTTTACTGCTCTTACTATTCATATTCGTACCTTCGTTTTGCTTTTTCTGAATCTCCTCTTCTACTGCTGCCTTTACCTGCTCAATTATCTTTTTTGCTTCCTCCTGTAGTGTCGTCTCGGTGTCTTTTATTTCAGGGATTTTCGTTTCGTCCACCCGTGTCGGCTCATTCGCCTTCGTCTTCCCTTTTGTATACTCCTCCCACTTCTTAGTACAGTTTGCCCCCCCTTCTATTTTATCCATTCCGTCCAATATTTTTCCTTCCTGCATTAACCAGTTTACTATGTCCAAATTTACTGCGTCTACGTGCTGTTTATTATGTCCATACCCACACATTGTGCACCTTCCGTCCATAACAGGGCCCCCCAGTCCTCCGTGTCCATGTTGCCCGGGACTCTTCATCTGCTTGAATGCTATACCGGCATATTCTGTACCTCTTCTCCACTTGTCCTGTTCCGGACAATATCTTTTTCTCAGTAGGTGTCCAAATACATTCACTACTTCACACCTGAGCTGTTCGTACATTTCCTTATCTTTTGTATCGTCGTTCGTGTTATCCTTATCCGTGTTACTGTTGCCCCAGCCATTTGCCCATCCGAGTGCAACACTCATGAATCTGCACCTTACGACATCTGCTACTGTTTGGCCCTTGTAATAATTCCCATCTTCCTTTAAATCATCCCAACCCACATTATAACAGTTTGCACCGTATGCATCCATATGCTGTTGTCCGTGCTCCATATATGTCTTAAACTCATCCAACACCTTCTTCACCGGTTCCCATTCCTTATCCTACATGTTGCATATATAAACATAAAGAAATATTCGTGTTAATAGTTTACCCGCAATCTTGCTCTGGAATGTACCTGCATACAAGTATGTGCCTGATGTATGCATGCGTCCTGTCACTTAGTCCCTTGTGTCTATATCCTGTGTGTCTCGGCGTTTACTCTAACTTACACTATAACCTTTCACCACGTACACTGTCTTATGCTTCCACTCCAATAATCTGTCTCCTTGACAATCCTGTACCTCGGGCGGCTTCTTCGCCACCGGTTTCCCCGCTACTGGTTTGGCAGCGGTGGCAGGTTTGTTCGGCTTGGCCGCGGCGGGTGGTGTTGGTCTTCCTTGTTCCCCTTGTCCTGTTTTCGCTGGAAGGAAGAAGAGGAAGACGGATGAAAAGATGATAGAGGAGAACTGGTAGACAGGGGTGCTGGTTTGTCGCCAGGGGCGGGTGTGGCGACGGCCCCACCTCCATTACCTGCATGATCGTTTTGTGACCTGCCCGGTGATTTTGATGTTGATGAGGATGATCCGGATGATGATGGTGTTGCCTGTGTCCCGTGTGTCCCCCGTACTTGTGCATCTCCTGTTACTTTTGGAGCTTTTGAGCGGGCGTCGTCCTCCTGTTTCTTTGTGCCTAGTACGCGCCGTACACATGCCTTATCTGTGCATTCATTTACCTCCGGCAATATTTGGTGCACCTTGTCTTTTATATCCTTCCCCATGTCCCCAATTTCTTTCTTTATGTGTTCTTTTAAGGCCTCCCGGTCCGATGCTCTTCCACGTCCTTGTACTTTGCAATCATTCCCTAATACTCCCACCTGCCCATCCTTCAGCTTTAACTTATTCCTGTCAATCCACCTGTTCATTATTTCCCAGAAATCCCTATCTGCTGCTTTTACGCCTTTAACACCCCCTTCCCGTGCATCCTCCTCTTCACACGCAATATTACCCACCTCCCTGCCGTACACGGTCTTTACTTCGGCATTCGCTAAATTAAATGCGAACTGACCACCAGGCCGTCCCAAGCAATTCATGCCCATTATTTTCTTCATGAATATATTTACTAGCATACACCTCATATAGTTGTGTATTTTCTTCTTCTGTTCGTCCATGCCCTCTTGGCTCATACGGGTTCCGTCTAATTGAATTCCATGTTTAAAATGTAATGCTATGTATGTTAATTCGCATATACCCATGTCTGCGCTAGTCCGCAGCCCCCCCTGTTCCCCATCCCGTCCTACTTCACACATAGTTTGCGCACGCCCACCGTGCTGTTCCTTCTCCACGTATTCCTTAAATTCTTGCCATACGTGCTTCACATTTTCCCAGAAAGTTGTCTATGAGTGCAATATGCATTATAAGTTGCTAATTAAATTATATTCACACTCCTACTCACCTGTTTCACATAATTGTATATATACATACATTTATACTCTTATACATATATGTGCGCACGTTCTCTAAGGACAATACAGCAGACGAGAACATGATTACGCAAGTGTGCCTAATGTGTTTCCCAAGTGTCATGCTAATATATGTACACAGTACAGCTTATCCCCCTGTCCTATGTTAGCGTACACATGAACTTACCCCCCAGTCTTTAATATTCCTATCCCTGACCCCTACATCTCCCTTTTCAATATAATTGTCCCATAGTACTAACAAATAATCCCACATGGCGCCCGCACGTGTCTGCGTTTTATATAGGATGACATTAGGCTCGACACTTATTCAATGTCCACATTAACTGTACATTACTCGTCGGAATCACATTCCTGTAATGGGAAATTGTACCATCACATACTCAGAATATGCGTGCTATGCATTAAAATCCGTAACCACAAATACCCCCCGTAACAACAAATACCCGCACTGAACAAAAAATACCGCCCTTAGCAACAAATACCCCCCTTAACAACAAATATCCGCTGCTACACTAAAACCGCAGTAACAACATCAATGCGTCCGCCGTTGCCGCCGTTGCCGCCGTCGTTGCCGCCGTCCTTCCCGCGACTACTGCGTTGAATCGTTTACGCGAACGCCGTAAGCGAACCGCTTCACGCGGCTACTTCGTCGAATCCGTCTTACACTCGGCCGCTTTGGTCGACGCGTTTGCTCGGAGAGACAATCTCTCCTCCGTCTTACACTCGGCTACTGCGTCAAACTGCTTCACTCGGACAGTCGTGTTTAGGCGGCCACGTTGGTCGGCGCGTGACGCGGACAATCTGCTTTACCCGGCCGCGTGGGTCGACGCTTTGCTCGGAGAGACCTTCTCTCCGTGCTTTCTTACACTCAGGTACTTCGTCGAATCCTTCTTACACTTGGCCGCGTTGGTCGACAAGTCCGTGTTCCCGGCCACGTTTGCTCGGAGAGACCATCCGCCTCGTTCTTACACTCGGCTACTTCGTCGAATCGTTGTTACACTCGACCGCGTTTGCTCGGAGACAATGGTCCTGCGTGGTGCACGCGGCCGCTGTGGTCGACGCGTGTGCTCGGAGAGACAATCCTCCTCCTTCGTACACGCGGCTACTTCCTCGGACCGCTTCACTCGGACAATCTGCTTTACCCGGCCGCGTGGGTCGACGCGGTTGCTCGGAGAGACAATCCTGCTCCTTCTTACAGTCGGCTACAATGCGGTTTACGCGGCCGCGTTCTTTGACGCGTTTACTCGGAGAGACAATATCTCCTCCTTCTTACACTGGTCCACTTCGTCGAATCCTTGTTACACTCGGCCACTTCGTCGAAGCGCGTTTGCTCGGACCGCCCGCGTTTGCTCGGAGAGAAAAGCTCTCCTTATACGCGAATGCGTAGTCGCGTGCTATATGTGTTCTGCAATATGCCCGTAGAATGCACGTGCGCATCTGTTAATAATTAACTTCCCATAAAGTAGAATACGACGCCTTCATATTATTCATTTAAATCTACGTTTTTTATGCATTTAACCGGTACGCACCGGTTCCTATGGTCATGTTAAAAGAAGTTCACTAGATAACAAGAACAGAACAAGGCAAAAGTAAGCACAAGTAAGCAGAAGAGAGCAAAAAAAAAAAAAGACGGTATAGAATAATGTAAACCGGAAATATATTATGTATAGCACATAATGAAATAAAAGTGGTCTACGGTCAGCATGCGTTATTTTGCATTCATATGCCCCGTCATCCTAATTTCAGAGCTTTTGCAATAGATCATCCACATATAACTCCTTCTCCTGCAAACGGCTCTCGAGCTCGCAGTGTTCTATGACTAATGCCAGGATCAGTATCCATGTTGTAGCGCTTAACGGTTTGTTCATATGAGGTGGCTGATGCAGCGGTTGGGACTCTGGTATATCTGGCACGTGTAGCAAGTGTTCTGTGCCCATTGCTTTTTCCACGTCTAAGTGTGTTTCAACTGCATGTATAGCGCAATTTTCCGGTACTTTTTCTGCTGCGGTTACAGTGTCTTCTTCGATATTTTCTAATAAATGCCTAAACCACTCTTCTTCACTATAAGTTTCAATGTGGTTATGTTGTTTTGCAACCCATTCTTTCCATGCTTCCAATTTCTTGCTTTCCATGGTTGCGGCTGTCTTGTGCTCACTGGATGCTGCGTCTGCCACCATGTGCTCACGTAGGTATTGTTTCCAATCCGCTTTTAATTGCAGAAACCACGGCTGCGTCGTGCACGCCTGCAATAGGTGCTTGTTGCGGTGAATCCAGTTAATCCAGTAGGTGCAGTACGACGGCGCGTCCCCAGGGTGGGAATGGACATGCCGCTGTTGTTTTTCGGGATGTATGGTTTCCATACAACGCCATGGATCGTGTTCATTCGGTGGAGATGCGTCCGTGTGTAATTGTATAGTTTCCATACAACCGCATGGATCGGGGTCCTCTTCCGTAGGTCGACAAGGGTCCGTGTGTAATTGTGTAGTTTCCATACAATTCCATGGATCGGGGTCCTCTGCATTAGGTGGAGATGCGTCCGTTTCTAACTGTATGTTTTCCATACAACTCCATGGATCGGGGTCGTTAGGTGGACAAGGGTCGGTTGCTAACTGTATGGTTTCCATACAACTCCATGGGTTATCTTCGTTAGGTGGAGATGCATCCGTTACAGCGGTGTCAGTGGATGGATCCACGGTGGAGGAAACATGGATGCCTGGTGAATCGTGATTCGACGAAGAAGCCGGGGAACTACTATGCCCGTGTGCATCGGGCTGCAGGTCATGTGCAACGTCCTGCGCAAACTCCTCCACGACAATCTGCCAATAATGCTCTTTGACGTTTTCCCATTCGGTCGCTTCACATTCGTGTAGCACTTCTAGATGTAGCTCGATGATCGTGCGCTTATGCACGCGTGTGGGGCGTGGTCGTCGGGCGGATGTTGACGCAGGTGGCCTATGCCTAACCAAGGTGTACCCGGAATCGGGTGGCGGCAGGTCGCCGCGTTGTAGATGTTGCAATATTTCTTCGTCTAGTGGCGGTGACGGGATGTCACGAACGGTTCGATATGTTCGTCGTCGTTTGGCGAGGTACGCAAAATACTAAGCAGAAAAAGGGGGTACAGAGGAGGGTGGGCACGGTAGCATAAAAGGAATGAACGCGGGTGTAGGAGTATATTGGTTAGAACGATCATATATGGGAGCCCGTAGGGATGTTCTGAGGTAGCAACATCCGGCACGTGCGGGATTCGGTGATTGCCGTATATACTTACCTTCCATAGGAAAAAGGCAATGAGCCCAATAGCAACCACCGCGGGAATGATCGCGGGTACATATGGGACGAGATCCTTGGGGTCGAAGGGTTTCGACGGAGGGAGGGTAGGAAGAGGTTGGTCTTTGGTTTCTGGAGTCTGGCCACTGGAAGGAGGGGAACCACGGGGTCCACCGCCACCAGCACTACGGCTGCCTCCACCACCACTACTACCTCCTCCACCCTCACCACTACTACCTCCTCCTCCTGCACCTCCTTGTCCGGCACCTCCCTTTCCTTCCCCACCAGACACTCCATCCGCCAAATCAGCATCACTGAAACTGCCACTACTACCCGATTGATTTGGGTTCGGGGGCGGGGCGGCTTCTGCTGTCGGGGCTGCTTCTGCTTTCGGTGCTACTGCCGCTGGTGCGTCTGCTGGTGGTTCCGCAACTTCCTCTGATTTTCCTGCTGCTGGCGCAGGTCCCGGGGATGCTGGTCCTTGAGGTTCTCCTGCACCTGGTGGTACTGCTCCCGGTGCGGGGGCGGGTGCCGGCGGTGCATGCTGCTGACCTGTACCTGTCGTGATCTGTGTAGTTCCAGTACCTGTGATTTTGAACGAAAAGGAAGAACATGGAAATAACGCAAGTGTGGTGCGGTGGCTGGTCATGGTTGACGACGTGGTCAGTCGCTGGCGATGATGGTTGGCACGCAGGGTGCCACGGGGATGGAGCCAGGCGTCGGATGGCAGGAGGACGGCGTGGTAGGAGATGGACGGGGGATAGGAGTGTACGGGGGTAGGGTGCCACCCCGGGAAAAGACTCTCTCTCTCTCCCACACAACACACGCAACACACACACACAGTGTGTGTGTGTGTCGGTCTGCATCTACGTGGACGTCTAGCTGTCTACATCCCGCGGCTGTCGCTGTCGCCCCGCATTCTCATTCGACGTGTGGGTTCTCTCTGTCTGCGTTGTCTCTGCCGGACTCCGTGTGGTGTCTCCGGAAAAGTTGTGCTTGATTTTTTGTTGTTTTTTGTTCTCTCGCGCCCTCTGTCCGTGTTCTGTCCGGAAAAGTTGTTCTCTTTTTTTTTTTTTTTTGTGTCTCCCTCGCTGCTGTTGTATTATAGTACGCACTGTGCCCATCGTGCCGTACACGTGGGACAGAGAATACCATACTAACAATAACAGAGGTTGTACCTGGGCCGCTTGTAGCATCCTCATCTATGACCTCAACACCTGGAGGGAACACGGGAGGCTGCAAGCCCGGAGCAGTATATGTACCACAGCTAACAGATACACTGGAGGATGTGACGCCGCTGTCGTGACATCCGATATTACCTGTACTTCCTGTACCTGCAGATCCGCCTGCTGGTCCTGGTTCTTCCGGGGGAGTGATCGATGGTCTCCTTGGTGGAGAAGGTGGCGCCCCCGGGGGCGGTGGTGCTGGTAATACTGGAGATGCCGGTACTTGTGGTTGTGTGCCGCCGTTGCCTTCATCATTGGATCCTCCAGCGGGGCTGTTAGTGTCCCCTGCCTTTGTTGACCCTGCTCTTCCTCCCTCTGTTCCTGCAAGTCCCGGGGATCTCTGATCACTCTTCTTGTCCTTCTCCGATGTCTTCACATCTACTGCATCTGCCGTTTTCCCTTGTGACGTGCCTCCGTCCGTGTGCTCCTTTTTCTCCTTGCTTTTCTCTACAATGAGGGATGGAAGAAAGGAAGATGAGCAGACGATAAAAAAGCGACACAAGTGGTACAGAAAGAAGGGGGCGGGACGGTGTGGTCAGATAGCGGCACGTGCGGCTGGATGCATGGATCGATGCATGGGTCGATGCAGTGGGTCGAGGTGGACTGCGATGGACTGCGTACTCGGTGGACTGGGTCAGGCGACAGCATGCGGTGAACTTGGGCTAGATGGTAGCAGTACAACTTTTATTTGTTGTTGCCGTCATCTGGTCCGCCGTCCCGCTGCCGTGGGCACTCATCTCCGTCCGCTGCGCAACCGCGACCGTTGTCGTAGTGGCCGCCGCTGTGGTCGCTGCTCATCGCTCAACCGAAGGGCAACTGAACGAGAGGGTGCTGTGCCACGCGCGTGTGCGTGTGTGTTGTGGTGGCATGCATATTCGGCTGTAACGGTGGCGCTCGTGTCCGTGCCGGCCTTGTTAGTATGCGGCCGTGTGTGTATGGTGCGTGTTCTTATTGCCCGTATTAGTAACACGCTGCTCCTGTAATCTTCTTACCATTCGCGTCCTGCTCTTCATGGTCCTGATCATGGTCGTCTGCTTCCTCATCCTTCTCCTCCTCATCATCATCTTCATCTTCATCATCATCATCGTCGTTCTCCTCATCATCCTCAGATTCAACAGCACTATCCGGAGAGTCCGCGGAAACCTGCACCCTTTTGCGCGCCTTCTCCACCTTCTGGTGTACCTTTTTGCTAATTGTCGTAAGCACCTCTTTTATGTGTTCCTTCACTAACGTTTGCATGGTTTCCTTCTTAAATATACTGGAAAGGTCTGCAGCTTCCCCTGTTGCCTCAAAACTTTTCTTGTACATTTCCCAATTCATTTTACACTTTGGGTGCTTCTCTATTTGTGTTATACTATCACGTACACGTTTACTTTGCTTGAACCATTTTCTTACCGCTGCCTTTAAGTTCCCTTTCCCTATTTTAATACCCTTATATATGTCTTTCGTGCAGGTGCCATCTGAAATCGGATTAGACGATTGGTGGATGGCCTGGGCAAACTGCTTCATGGTTTCCCATGCCCAATCTGGCCCGAGCCACTCGCCTCCACACTTTATTCCAGCCAATATATACGCAAAAACATTTGCTACCATGCACCTCATAATAGCCTTCATGTCCTTATCATTTTGCGATTCGTGCGTATCCGGCGGCTGAGGAGATTGCCACCCAGTGACAAAATGTAATGCTCCAACCATCAGTCTGCATTTCATTACGTCCGCAACTGTGTGCCCGCGATACGTTATGCCCTTATGCCTGTATCCTCTACGTGTCCAACCTGCAGCCTCACAGTTTGTGGCATAGGCGTCTAAGTTATCCTCTATGTCGTGCATGTAATCCACGAATTGTGCTAACACATTCTGCATATCTGCCCATAATGCACTCTACGAAATATGTACATAGAGAAAATGATTAATGTGTAACAATATATCAACTCTATTGGACTCTACCATCCGTTCCGTATGTGTTACGGCACATATATGTACCAACACTATTTTCCGCCACCCGTCGTAGTTGTGTCGTGCAATGCCTTGTTGTGAGTGAACACTTACATCAAGCTGTTGCTGTGTCCCTAGTGCCCGCTTTATGGCCCATTCGGCCATTACATTTACTAAGTGCCGTGCCATGATGCCTTACGTCACATAATACAGGATACTAATGGTCTCTGAGAGTATTATGCACATTATTCATATTCCGCCCTGATACCGTGCACACCTGTGCCTCATGAATATGCTTATTACTCTATAAGTGTGGGGAATCCGATCACACATATAATTTATATAAGGCAAATGCACAACACAGAATTGCACGGTTCAGTACCTGTGTATACCATGCTGATATTGTTTAGGAGAGAATAATATGCACAGAATAAAAAAGGAGTACAACAATAAAGAGAACAAAAAAAGGGAAAAAAAAGAACACAACAAAGTGAACGGAAAGCAACATCTTCAACATGGAAGCTATATATGCGTCCCTGCTGCGTGCTTGCATAAAGTCTCGGTTTGAACAATATATTACGAAAAGAAATATATATACATGTCACCAAGATACTGCACGACTACCTCCTCGGAAGCTGTTATGCCTGAAACATCGAAAAAGACGAGAAAGAACAGCAGCAAAACAACATATTCCTACAAACTTATAACAACATCTTCTACACAATAGAGAGAAGACGCGCTCGCTTCCACACATGAACAATCTCCCCAAGTAGAGTACCAAAAAGGAAAAAAGAATAGAAACAAACAAATAGGAAAGGTACAAGAGCGTCATGAAGATACCACCGCCGCCCCCCTTTCTACACCGGTCTCCACGAAACGCCTGTCACACACACTGTGTCTCTGTGTGCGTACACCTAAAACCCCGCAGTATAGCAACAACAACATCAATGCGTATGCCGTCGTACACTCGCCTACCTCGTCGACAATCCCGCTTACTCGGACGCGTTTTGCTCGGAGAGACAATGTCTCCCTCCGTTCTTACACTCGCACAATCCTGCGTCGAATCCGTCTTCCACTCGGCTACAATCCCGTTTACCCGGCCACATTCGCTCGCAGAGACAATCTCTCCCTCCTTTCTTACACTCGGCTACAATGCGGTTTACCCGGCCGCGTTTGGTCGGAGAGACAATGTCTCCCGCCGTTCTTACACGCGGCTACTTCGTGGAATCCGTATTACTGCGGTAGGTACGCGGCCACGTGTGCGCGCACACAATAGCGGTGCTTACTGGGGCGCTTTGTTGGACGCGTGTGAGCGGGTACTGCGTGGAAGGGGTGGTGCAGGCAGACCGATGGTGTGCTCGCGGAGGCCATATGCAGCAAGCATGCAAATACCAAAAACCATGAACGGATGCAATGGCGTGGACGCCACAGATGACAAATAGTATGAGAGGTAGTGGATAATAAAAGATGGATGCGCGCGCAGGTGCAAGATGGAGGCAATGGAATAAGCGCATGGAACGAACAGCCGCCTGGATGCAAATAAAAAACCATGAACGGATGCAATGGCTTGGACGCCGCAGATGACCAATAGTATGATACGTAGTGGAAAATAAAATATGGATGCGCGCGCAGGTGCAAGATGCAGGCAATGGAATAAGCGCGTGGAACGAACAACAGCCTGGATGCAAATACAAAATCATGAACGGATGCAATGGCGTGGACGCCAAAGATTACAAATAGTATGAGACGTATTGGAAAAAAAAATATGGATTCGCGCGCAGGTGCAAGATGCAGGCAATGGAATAAGCGCGTGGAACGAACAACAGCCTGGATGCGAATGCAAAAGCAGAAAGAAGCGAATAATAAAAAATGCGAAGAGCGCGCAGATTAGGCGTAGAATGCCAAAAAAACAAAAAAACAACAAACCCAAAGAGTCGTGCGATTCACTAAGTGAAATCGCTAAAAAAGCTTAGGAATGCCATGCAAGGGTAAGGATGCGTGTAAAAAGTGAAAACATCGCCTTCGCAGCAGCAGCGTGCAGGAATGCAGATGAAAAAGGGCGAAATCGGAACAAGAACAATGCGCAAAGAAAGCATGCAGGAAAAGGGAATGAAAAATAGATGCAGTAGAAGGATAGCAAAGAAAGGAGGAAAAGGGGGGGGAAAAAAAGGAAAAAAAGGGAAAAAAGGACAAAAAAGGAGAAAAAAGGAGAAAAAAGGAGAAAAAA